CATGTCTCCCTGTGTCCCCATTTCCCCCCATGTTTTCATCTCACCCTATGAACTCACGTATCCCCATTGTTCCCCCATGGCCTCCCCAGGTCCCCTCACGTGCCCCTGTGTCCCCCCCCTGTCCTTCATGTCCCCCCCCCATCCCCCCCCCCTCCCCCCCCGTGTCCCCACATCCCTCGTGTCCCACCATGTCTCCCTGTGTCCCCATTTCCCCCCATGTTTTCATCTCACCCTATGAACTCACGTATCCCCATTGTTCCCCCATGGCCTCCCCAGGTCCCCTCACGTGCCCCTGTGTCCCCCCCATGTCCTTCATGTCCCCCCACATCCCCCCCACTTCCCCCCATGTGTCCCCGTGTCCCACCTGGGCAGCAGGGCAGGTGACACGCTTGCAGCTGCCAGTCCCTCCTGTCCCCATCGTCCCCGCCGGAGCTCCGGCTGCGTCCCCGCCGCTGGGTCCCCTCCCCACAGGTCACTGAGCAGCTGCTCCAGGGGCCCCAGGGGCCCCACTCACCCTGTCTGGGGACATGGGGTACCCAGGGTCACACGGCATCACTTGGCGTCACCCAGGGCCCCCCGGGGTCACCTGGGGTCACCAAGCACCATTCAGTGTCACCCGGGATCACACGGGATCACCCAGTGTCACTTGGTGTCACCCAGGGTCACACGGCACCACCGGCAGCCTCATGAGGTCATTCAGTGTCACCTGGTGTCACCTGGTGTCACCCAGTGTCAGTGTCACCTGGTGTCACCCGCTGTCACCCGGGGTCATTCAGCATCACTCAGTGTCACCTGGTGCCATCTGGTGTCACCTGGAGTCACCCAGAGTCACTTGGTGTCACCTGGAGTCGTCCCGTGGCACTGGGTGTCCCCCAATGGCCCCTGGTGGCACCTGAGGCCACCTGGTGTCCCCCAGCCCTGCTCAAAGTCCTCTGGGTGGGGCACAAGAGAGGCGGGGCATGAGAGGGCAGGGCTGGGAGCAGTGGGGGTGTTGGTGGGTGGAGCTTCAGTGGTGTAGGTGTGGCCTCACAGGGGGAGGGGCTTTTGCACTGGGTGTGGCCACTTGAGTGGAGCTCATCCAATGGGGTGGGGCTAGAAGGGGGTTGTGGGCGTGGCCATGGAGGTGAGGTGAGTGGGGTCAGGTGGGCGTGGTTTTCAGTGGGCAGGGCTTTGTTGTGGGTGGGGCTTGTGGGCGGTGCTGGTTGTGGGCAGGGCTCATTTTGGGTGGGGCTAACCGGCAGGAGAGGCAGCGGCCGTGGGGGCGGAGCCTGTAGCCGTAGGCAGGGTTGAGGCAGCAGTCAGCCAATGGGACGGGCTCGTCGCCCAGTAGCTCCACGCAGGCCCCGCCCCCCTCAGCCTCCTCCAATCGGGCGAAGCACCAGACGGGCGTGGCCGCTGGGGGCAGGACCATGAGGGGTCACAAAGGGTCACTGGAGGAAATGCTCCCCAGTGTTCCCAGTACTGCCCAGCATCGCTCCCAGCATCCCCCACTCCCCACCCAGCCACCTCCAGCCCCTCCCAGTGCCCCCCAGCACCCTTTAACCCTCCACTTCCCCCTCCCTCTGCCAGGCCCCCAGTGCTTCCAGAATTCCCTCAGTCTCCTCCAGTGCTCCCAGTGCCCTCCCAGTCCCCCCCAGTGCCCTCCCAGTCCCCCCCCAGTGCCCTCAGTCTCTCCAGTGCCCTCCTAGTCCACTCCAGTACCCCAAGTGCCCCTACTCCATCCCAGTCCTCCCAGTGCCCTCCCAGTCCCCCCAGTCCCCTCCAGTCCCCCCAGTCCCCCCCCAGGCCCCCAGGCCCTCCCAGTCCCCCCAGTACCGCTGGGCCCCAGGGCAGCGCAGAGCAGCAGCAGGATCAGCCCCACGGGCGCCATGGGGGGAAGTGGGGGACGGTGGGGAGGGAGAGGAGAGGGAACTCCGGGGGTCCCACCCACAGGAAGGACCCAGCGGCCCGTCCCTTCCCCCCATTCCAGCCCCAAATTCCGCTTTTTTTCACCCATTTATTAGAAAAAAATCCACCACCAAAACCGAAAGGGGGAAGGGGTGGGGCCACACTGGGGGGAGGGGCCACTCGAGGGCCCCTCACCCAGGGTGAGGCTGGAGGGGGTCGGGGAACACCCCTTTGGGGGGAACCCAGACATTGTGGCCCCTGGGAGGGCGTGACCCAGGTGGGCACGTCCGGGGAAGGGCGTGTCCAGGGAAGGGCGTGTCCTCACAGTGGGTGTGTCCGGGGGGCTCAGGGGCCTTCGCTGAAACGTGTCACCCCCCCGGGGCGGGACCGGGTGGGAGCCTGTGGGGACAGTGGGGTCACACAGGTCACGCAGTGCAGCCCCCACAACGTGAACCCCCCGCCCCCTCCCCGTGTTCCCAGTGTCCCCCCGTGTCACCTCCAGCTGCCACCCCGGCCTGTTCTCTGTGTCTCCCCCTGTCCCCCTGTCCCACCCTTTTCTCTTGTCCCCAATGTCCCCATGTCCCGCTGTCCCCCCCCAAGTCCCTTTGTCCTCCCCAGTGTCCCCATATCCCCCCCATCGTGTGTCATCTCCAGCCCCTGCCTTTCCAGCCTGTTCCCATCACCCCACGGCCCCCTCATGTCCTCCCACGTCCCCCTTGTCTCCCTCTGTCCCCTGGTGTCACCTCCAGCCTCCTCCAGCCCAGCCTATTCCCTGTGCCCCCTCATACCCCCCCTACGTCCCACTCATGTTTGCCCCCATCCCATCCCTCCCGTGTCCCCTGTGCCCCTCCTGACCCCCTTGTCCCCCCATGTCACCTCCGGCCTCCTCCGGCCCAGCCCACTCCCCTCCTTCCAGCCCATGGCCTGCAGCATCCGACAGCCCAGGGGGGGCTCGCGGGGGGGCCCCTCTGCATCCCTGGGGGGCACCATGGGGGGGGAGTCACTGGGGATCCTGCACTGCCCCAGGGACCCCAATCCCACTGGGGGTCCCAGCACCCCCCAGCACCAGCACTGGGGTCTGTGCACCCAGTTTTGGGGGTCCCTCCCCCGCAGCACCCACCTTCAGGGTCCAACACCCCCACTTTGGGGACCCCCCCCCCACACCATAGTACCCCCTTTCGGGGTCTCCACCACACATTTTTGGGGTTCCTCACCTTACAGCACCCAGTCTGCGGGGCCCAGTTTGGGGTCTGCTATCCAATAACACCCATTTTTGGGGTCCCCCCCCCTTTGGGGTCCTCCCACCCCCATTTCGGGGTCATTCACCCCACCTTCAGCTGTTGGGCCCTTCCCACTTTTGGGGTCCCCCAGCCCTCCATGTTCAGCCCCCTTCCCCTCTGAGTCCTGGGGTGCCCTCGGGGTGTGTCAGGTGCTCACCCAGGGGTCGGGGGGGGTCCCCCGAATTTGCGCCGCTTGGGCTCGGGGGGGTCGGGGCCCCCCTGCTTCTCCCGGCGCTCGGCAGCACGGTCCCGGTACTTCATCTGGGGGGGGCAGCACCCATGGGTGCCCCTCAGCCCATTGAGGGGTCACACAGCACCCGTGGGGGGCCCCCAACCCCCTGGGCCCCCCCAGCCCCATCGGTGCCCCCCACCCCACTGAGGGGTCACAAAGCACCCATGGATGGCCCTCGCCCTCCCTCTGCCTCCTCGTGCCCCCCCCCACCCCATGGGTGCCCCCCAACACCCTTGGGTGCTCTGGGCCCCCCCAGTTGACCCCATGTCCCCCCAGTCCGCTGGGTGCCCACCCAAGTTCCCCCCCTGCCACACTGGGATCCCCCCTTTCCCAGGAATGCCCCTCAGATCCCCCTCCCCGGGTGTCCCCACCCCCCCCGTGCCCCCCCATGTGAC